GGCGGGACGAGCGGATATGATAGGCGGGAGGAGCGGATACGATAGGCGGGACAAGCGGATACGATAGGCGGGACGAGCGGATATGATAGGCGGGACAAGCGGATACGATAGGCGGGACGAGCGGATATGATAGGCGGGACCAGCGGATATGATAGGTGGGACAGGTCCTCAGAGCTGTTTCACATTGCACCAGAGTGAAGCAAAGGGGAGAAACGTTAGCTTTTGTAGGAAGATGACTTCTGATGAGTGAAACGAAAAACTGCCAGAATTATCCAGGCTTCTGCCAACCTGTGAAGGACCGTCTGTCACCACTGAAATTCTCTCAGATCGGAGTGGTGGTGAGGCTGCTGCAGAAGGAACCCCCTGTACCCCGCCAAAGACGGGGCTTGGTGTCTTCATCGGGCTCTGATCTCCGGAGCTCTGTCCGTAAACCCCGCCCACAGTCAGCGGCTCCCGGTGAGCTGCGCTCCACCTCCTCAGAGCCACGGCTCTCGTCACCCAGCACACAAGGCACGTCACCCTTCAGCATGTTCCCTGTGGACTCTGATGTCCCGCTCTGGTCCCTGGACCCTGCATTCTGCGTTACCTTCCCAGCTCCCTGAGGGCTTCCAGGACGTCTTTCCTGGCCCTTCACTCTCCGTGAAAGTTACTGCTTATCGTACCGTTCTCTGCTCCCCCCACTAACTTACCTTTAAATCTCCAGGAAACATTAGAGGTCACATTTATTTAAAAATTATTGGGTTTACTTTGTAATATTTAGGTGCTCTGGCCTGAAACTTGGGGAATCTTTTTCTTTTCCTCTACATGCTACTCCTGTATCTTTCCCTTGACAACACTTGACCTTGACTTCCTCTCCTCTCTGTCCATACCGTCCCCACCCCCATCCTATAACCTAACTCTCTATCTTCAAGTTATATATTTTTAAAATGTAAAAATGCAGAAGGCAAGAGATAAAAGAAGCAGGTGATACAGAAGGTCGTGTCTCTTCTCCTCTTTGAACTGTAAACAAGGTAAAGCAAGAGGGGTGTCCCTAGGGCCGTGGAGTCTGGGTTTGAAAGCAGGCTCCAGCCTTACTGGAGTGAGGGGTGGCAAGCTGTAGGGTGTCTGTGAGCTTTCATTTCCCCATTACTAAAGTGAAGGCAACATGTCTGCATCAGAGATGAGGAAATGCGTCAGTAGCTCACACACGGTGAGGAGCTAGTGCATGTCTGTTACTCCAGCACCAAGTAAGGAAATCGTTCTGTGACTAAGGGCGGGACTTGGTCAGCTCTCAGCTGCAAACAATACTCAGCAGTGTTCATGTGTAATGAGGTTCTTCTCCCCCTCTGCTGCTGGGCTAAGAAAATGTATTTATTCGTGTAGTTAGCAAATGCCTATAAAACATATAGTAAGTTTCATTCTTTGTGCTCAGGAGGAGCTTGGATGTCTAAATACCCTACAGCATATGCTGCTGCAGCTAAAGAGAAATACATATGTATATATATAAAATCTCCTTGGAATATATATAGTATATAAAATATAATATATATTATATACATTCTGTAATACAATATATTATATATACATATATATATTGTCTCCTTGGGAAAAGTTCTTCAGATCAAGAGAAAAAATTTGCTGAACACTTGGTCCAGCATAACACCATTCCTATAAAATTACCCACACACACACACACACACACACACACACACACACACTTTGGAGCTACATATACATTCTGTGAATTTGTAGAGGAAGTTCTTACGGTCCAAACTGAGAAAACGAGAATAAAGGAATAATTAGCCTTA